GAGTCCCCTCAGGGAAAAGGGCGGCCTACAAATATTAATAAAATCTCAAAAAAAAAAAATCTCTCACAAGGAATTTGTCTTTGGTGCATATGCTCTCAGTGTACATAAAAAGACAAGATACATTCGTCAAGAATAATAAGGTACAACATTTAATGATTGTCATAGGGTACAAATAAGCAATCAGGAAACAATATCAATATAAATCGTAAGGATACAAGCAACAAGCATACAAGCAAATCAAATCAAATCAAAAACTAAATAAACAAACAAACAAACTCATTTCTGCTTTTGCAGAAAACATTAAAGCAATATGGTTAGAGTACTGGACTAGGGCCAGGAGTTTCAGATTTTATTCCCCTCTCAGCCACGGAGCCATTTTCTCTCAGCCCAACCAACTTCCTAGGTTCTTTTGTTGTGAAGAAAAAGAGGAAGTTAGATTGCTAATATGATGTTTTGAGCTTCTGAATGAAAGACAGGTGCCTAATAAACAAACAAGCAAACAATAAATGAACTGAAAAAACTGGCTTTGTGAAACCTATGAAACACACACACACACACACAGACAAACAAACATTAATCAAGCTCAGCATGTTATATGAATAAATGTGAACCTGGCTAAGTACATACATAGTCATCACATGTCCTTAAGCTGCTCTTTCTAAGCCCCAATATCGATCTATCCTTCAGTGGAAAACTAATATTCTCCTATCCCAAAAGGAAAAGCTATACCTTGAAGTTCAGATACGTGTTTTGCACATACATGATCCCATATCCAGGACCTACAGAAAAAAATGGGAAAGATTCCTGCTTGAAAATAAAGAAAGCTGCCATCAAACCTGGCACCCTGAAAAATACTGAGTTTAACAGTGTGACTCAGAATAAGCAACTTCTAAGAACGGGTTATATACAGAGGTAATAAATATGAAGAACGTTGAATTTGTAATAATTATACAAATGGTAATTTATCATTCCTGATTCTATAAAAAATATAATTTACATTAAATCCTAATGCTAAATGCTAAGATAGGGAAAACGAATAATTTTGCTCACCGCTTTCATTATGATACAAAGGGATTTAATAATAATAATTAACATGTCAAACTCCCTACCACTAGATGCAATTGTTAGTTTAAATAGTTTTCAAAAGTGAAGACAGGTTCCTGGAGAACATATTCTGGGCAGCATTTGCACATGGTCTATAGATAGGGAAGCACCGCAAAAGAAGGTGATTCCTAAAATAATTGGACCTTTATATCTATAAATAACCATCTGCTGGGAACAAGCAATAAGGGAGAGCTGTTGACCTGGAGCTTTGGTTTTGCGCTTCCCAAATGAATCTAGTTGGCCAAAGATGGAAAGATAACATGGATTAGATGAGTCTTTGTCTCAGTTAGCAAGGCTTCTCTGATCTTGTGGGGGCTCAGTTGCACACTGGGCGACTAGAGTAACTGGCCCTGCCTGGGGTCTCTTATGCTGGATCATTGGGCAGGCAAAAGAAAGAGGAACAGAGGTTCCTTTGTGCCACCTCATCTCATGCCTGCTTTGTATGTGTTGCAGCTGCCAGCTTTCCTACAGCTTGACCCAGGATTATTCAGCTGGGCAAGCAGGAGGTAGCAGCCCCATTACATCCTCAGATTCTCCATCCTTGCCTCCCTTTCCATCAGTTGGGGAGGGGGAGAGACATAAAACAACCAGAGTGCAGCTTTTTCCTCATTATCCTGTGTTAGATAAAGTGGGTGTAGGCTGTGTTTTCATATCTGGCTGTTCCTTCTTTGCATCTCTAGAAGGAGCTCCAGAAAAAGCCTGCATAGAATCAAACCTTTCTTTACAAGCCTAGCAGTAATAACTGTCCTTCCTCTTTTGGCAGAATGGGGCTGTGCCTGGTGAAACACGTAAGCGAGATGAGAATATCAAGCGAGGCAACTGGGGCAACCAGATTGAATTTGTTCTCACGAGTGTCGGCTATGCAGTTGGGCTTGGCAATGTGTGGCGCTTCCCTTACCTCTGCTACCGCAATGGGGGAGGTGAGTACGGAGGTCAGAGCACTGTGTTTGTGGAAAGGCTGGTGAAGACTGTGTGGGAGCATGGGTCTACCATACTCTGGCCCGAAAAGTAGAAAGTTGCTGGTAGCAGAGAAGCTCTTCATGATTGATTCTTCATCCGTCTCTGCTTCAGCACAACAGGAAATGGTGGGCCTTTTGCTGTAATGTCCTAACAATCTGAGACTCAAGATGGGAAGCTATATGCTGTCTTACCTTCCTGACCAGGGGTACTTTGAATGTATTAAGTTATGATTTTCAGGACTTGTGAACCAAACCCGTCTGGGAATTCTTAAACTAATAGCCCAAACACTTCTGGAAGGCACCAGATTGGGGAAAGCCCAACTAAACTACCAATTGCATGTACTGGCGTTGAGATTATATGAAAGGACTGCTTGAAACAGCTGGGAATTACTGGCACAAATAGCGGGCTTTATCCCCATTTCGAATAAAAGCCAAGGTGGCGCAGTGGTTAAATGCAGCACTGCAGGCTACTGCTAGATCAGCAGGTCAGCGGTTCAAATCTCACCGGCTCAGGGTTGA